TTTGAAACAACGAATGTCTTTCATTGATTGTATAGGGCGCGTTTCTTTTAAAATACGTTGTCTTTCTCTTCCATTCAGTTAAACTCCAGCCTCTTCATAGTTCAGCCAAAACTCCTTGAATTATAAACCATGTCACAAGTCCAGAATAATTCTCTCTTTTTACTATTTTAGATTGCAAAAACTAAGGGGAAACCATGTCTTTCTCTATATCGTATCTTTAGCACTCTTAATTTTATTTTTATTTTTCTCGCTATACAAAGGTTTTAAAACTTTGAAAAATACATTTTTATAGACGACTCGACATGCTCTACAAGCTAGACAGATCAAAAACGTTTTCTGGCAGAAAAAGTTTTTTGTCAGGAAAATCGGTTTTACAGACACTGGATCTATGAGGCCTAGCAGCTCGTTTCATGCTGATATTGAGAATCAGCGCCATCAATTACCTATAATCCAATAGGTTTGATGATAAAACAGCGATTTCACACTTGCATATGTTACTTTGTGAGGTAGGAACCAGCCTTTAACAACTAAATGAATGATAATTAGAGTAAAAGTAGTAACACCAACGTGTGACCAGAACCATCCGATATTTATTCATATCTTTTCACAAAATAACATCGGCTTATAAAAAAATACATCGACTATTCATATATACAGAGTTGAACAAGTCAAGTCAGATCAAGTCAGACTGGACTTGCCCAGCTCAGTTTTGAAGAGTTTTGGACAGTAGCGAAGTCAGGATTTGGGGCCAGGAGGGTTCAACCTTCCACGTACCTTTGAGCTTCCTTCCTGACGAGGTTTTTGAAAAATGTATTCTTTTCTCATACAAAAATGCATTAGAGTTTGCAATGGAACTTTTTAACATATATATCTTATTTTGTGAAACTCACATGCGTTTTCGAAGAAAAGAAAATACCAAGGGGGAAGAAACTGATTTCTATACTAGAAATCATTATAATACATTAAGGATTCGAATCATGACTGGTAGTGGTTAAAAATTATCGGAAACCATCAGAACCTATTAGAAACCATGAGATAAGAAATCATTAGAAATAAATGGAAATCACTTTAAGTCATAGAAAATTTTCAATAAAAAGACTAAAAGTAAACTTTTATTTCTATTGATTTGTAATGATTTTTATTGATTTTCTTGGATCTCAATAACTGTCAATATTCCTAGTGGTTACTCTTGATTTTTCATGGTTTCGTGTAATTTTTCTTCATATCTAACCATTTCTGATGATTCATATTTATTCGTGGTGAGCAGATAAAAACTGATTTCCATCGATAGAAACCACTATAAATTCAAACAATCAAGAAATCGGTTTGTTTCTCTTGGAAAATACAGTAAATATAAATTTCACTCAGCATGACCTCTAAAACCTGATTGAAACTTATATTTATCGTATTTTGTGACAAATCCAATGACGCATTAAACATTGTCTATAGCTAAGCGTTGATTAATAAATGTTGCACCAACATCTCGAACTTCACCAAAAGCGATACATTTGATTCTGTTGATCATGCTTTGTTATTCAGTGTCATGAGTACCAACCCTGTTCGGATAATTGAATTGATTCATCAAAAGAATAATCTCTTTTTTATTTGTGAGTTGTATCGATTACGAGATGGCTTTATAGACTTCCACAAAATGTTTAAAATTTTTTGTTCTAGCAGTTTCTAATAAAACGAAAATCAAGAAATAATATTCACTAACTGTCTGCATGGATCATTCATTATGCTTCGAACAAAAGAGAAAGCTAGGCTTTTCTATCACAGCAATACTATTTGAAAAGAACAGAAACGAAAAGTGAGCGTTGAGTAACTAAGTGACCTGCAGTAAATAGAAATGAACATTGATCTATCTATCGTATTATTCTGATGATAATCATTATTCACATTCCAAAGAATACTAATATGAAAAGACAACACAACGAACAACAATAATCATATCTTATGGATTGAAATCATGCTGTATAGATATCGCAACGATAGATCCAGCTATTACTGTGTGAAAAAGTTCTTTGTTTTTGTCTAACAACTCTTTGTTGATAGATTATCACAATTGTATTCCGCCAATTTCTAGAGAATATCTATATATGAAATTGAAAATTTGCTATAATGCTTGCTCTTTAATATTGATAAATCTAATTTTTGACGTACTTGAATTTGGTATAAAACATGTTATTGATGCTGTTTGAAATCACAGCGTTACACTACAAAAAAAATTCTATTCACTCTGTATTTTTCCTTTTTTGTTATCGATTATATCCAATAATTTACGTCATATTTCCACTGCCAAACTTTACAATTAGGTTTGCGTATTATTGACCAAACGACTTTAAATTTTTGACTGCTAAACCAATTTTAATATTTGATTAATGTACAATAAACGATCGCGCTATTTATGCATTTTATAAAGAAAAAAAAGCATAACAAAACTAATGCTTTCTTTTTTCAATGAATATATTGTCCATTTTATAATTTCAATTTCGTACGACAAAAATAATAACGTTTTGTATTATATTGAATAGTATTTCCTGTTCGCATACGAATTTAAATCAAAATAGACAAAATAAAAAAAACCAAAAACGAATAGTCAATATATCCGTTGTGGTACAGGTCGATTGTATTCTTCTTTTTTTTTTTTGCTAAAACTTTCTTCATTTTTAATGTTTAGTGTGACGTGATTATTTTAAAATCTCAAACAAACATTGAAAGACTATATTTTTGTTTTTTTGTACATATGATACAAGGGAAAAAAAAATATATATATATAAATAAAATATAAAAATTATTTTTCTTCGGTTGATGATGAGGAAAATTCTCGTTGTATTGGTGTAGATTCAGCATCTTTAAGAGCATTTAACCGTCGCCATTCACGATAAGCACGATAATGTCGTGTTCTTGGATCAGCATTATATTGTGCATCAGAAAAATGCATAGTACTATTAATAAGAAATAAATCATAGCAGATAATTTTTCGACCAATCTTACCGCCATTGTAATGCATGAATAAACATACCCAATGCAATAACAATTATAATAACCGATACTGAAGCAAAATAAGTATTTGGTACACTATGTGGTGAAGTATAATAATTTGAATAAGTGCCTGAACGTTGTCTATCATGTTCCATTTTTCGACGAAGCATATCATAGAATGCTTTATCATAATGTGGTATATTCCTTTGAAAAGAAATTTAATTCATATATTAAGATATGATTTCATATAATAGAACGTCGCACCTGCTTACCAAGTCGATTCATTTGTATTTGTTCGACGTTGGTATGTACTTCGGCTAGCAAAATTTATATTTGACCAATTTGGTGATGGTTGACGAGAATATGATTGATATGGAGGACGAGATATTGAATTAAGAGCTAGAAATGATTCGAAGTAATTTATTCTTACTATGTATATAACAATGATGCTGACAATTCTATGAAAGATTTAAGATAAAGATGATATTTAGGTAGTAAGAACTTTTTTAAACATGAATGCGTCTAAATAATATCGAATCATCACCATTAGTTTCTCATGCAATTACCCGCTCTAATAAGAATATTTTAATTCTTACATTGATCATAAGTAGAGCGTGTGGATTGTTTACTGAGTACACTAAAAGCTGCATTGATTTTAACGAATTTCTCATGAAGTGATTGATCAGCTGAATTTGAATCAGGATGATACTGAAAACGACAAGAAAGGTTAACAATTATATTTTATTTTTAGTTAACTTCTTTTGATAATTTGTAAAATGCTTTCTTTATTTCTTTTTGCGTTGCTGTCCGTTCAACTCCAAGTAATTCATAATAATTTCGAGAGTTAAAATTTGCTGTTTTATAATATCGACATAATATTAATACAATTGATCTGTATTTAGAAAACAAATAAGAAAAAAAAAGCCATATTCTTCTTCGATTACCGATGTGATTGAATTGTAGATTTAATGATGTTTCTATATGGATGGAAACGATCACTAGAACCCTTATTTGTACACAGATATTTTTGAGAAGTTCTCAACATGCATATGTAAGTAAAGAATCTGTACTTGTACCGAAGATGGTTTAATCAAAAAAAAAAAGAAAAGAAACACCTGATTTATAAACCAATGATATAAATGTTGAAAATTTTATTTTAAAATAAACAATATATTTATCATATCTACTTCTTTAGTTTAAATATCTTGTTCAAATCAAATTTATCTTTTTTTTATTTCAAAAGAAAATCAAATGTCGCTACTATCAATGTGATTAATTTAAATGATTAATATTTTAATAAAAGAATAAATAAAAAAAAATCTAGGAAAAAAATGAATAAGACATTAATATTTTATTTCTTTATTGTTTCCTTTTTTTTTTTGTATATGAATAAAATATGGATATATATGCATGTCATTTTCTCTAAACAGAACGAAACAAAAAACAATATTTTTAGTCCGATCAATATTATTCCTCGTCATGTTAGTCGAGAATTAGAAGTTGTATCCAATGAATTTTTCTATTCAAATTTATCAATTGGTGGTGGTAGCATGATTTATTTATTTTTTTTTGTTTCTTTATGAAATATTTTTTTTGTCTCTCTTGAATTTGTTTGTATTCAGTTTATATTGAATTGAACGAACAGAAGCAAAAAAATGCTCAGCAGGTGAGGCAATCAAACATTTGTTGATGGTCGTCATCGACGAGAAGAAAATGAATCAAGCAGATAGCCGGTCGGGCACTCTGCTTTTTCTCTCATTTTTTCTCTTCCGTTATTGTGTGTTCGATGCGTTGTTCGTTCTCTAACATACACTTAATTTAGTGTTTTTTTTTTGCAATCCATGACATTGTCGTTATTAAGAGTAGGAGATGCGTAAAAAAAATGCTGTTGTTAATGAGTAGGTGTATTTACAATGTAGGTTTTATGTCATTTTTTTTTCATTATGAAAATGGCAATCATCAGTATTACATTTTTTGTTTTAGATTCGTTTTGTTCTTATTTTAAAAAATCAATTATGAGCTACCTTGATTTTACCGATGATATTATTGCAATAGACCAACTTAATGGCATTACTCCAACTGCTTTGCAACCATTAGCAACGCCGTCAAGTACATCTGCAGTTGTTCAACAACAACAAACAAAAGATTTATCGGATTGGAGAAATATTCAACTTGGAACAACATCAACACTTTTTGATCCATTTTGGTTACCACAAACACCAGTCACACCATTATCTAATCCTTGGACTACGTCTAATAATACAGTTTATCCATCACCTTATAATCAAATATCATCTTCTCAGCATCATTATCAATCGATGAATCCAAATAATAATCAACCTTGGAAAATGCCTACATTTCCAATAGAAAAAACACAAACTTTTGTCAATTTTAATCATCCCAATATGATGAATAATGTTACTGATATAACAACAAATACAATAGTAAATCCATCAACTCCTATCAGGTTCGATAAATGTTGATTTTATGAGGTTATATTTTAATAGAAAATGAGATATTATCATTAGGGAATAACTTTTTGTTTTTTTTCATCAAATAATATTGTTCAGATTGAGGATTTATGTTAATTCGATTTTCCATTAAAAAGAATAATATTTTCCCAGAAGAGGAAGAGAAATTTAAGTCTTATTGACCTTGAATCAAATATTATCTTGAGAAATGTATAAAGTCAAAATCGATGCGGAATCGAAAAATAACATTTTCCTGTTGACTATTAATAAATATTTATTTTTATAGAAATTTTATTCCTGTTCAACCAAATTCATATTCTTATCCTCCAACACCTTCTACAATACCATCAACGTCTAGAATTCGACCAATGACTTCTCATGAAACTGAACTTATTCTTGTACCTGATCTTGATATTGATGAAATTCTTGGAGAAGTGCAATCTGTTATACCAGATATTGATCTTGATGCTGCACGTCAAACTATAACATCAATGAATCCAATACCATCAACAAATGATATTGTAACACATTTTCTTGATAATGGTTATACAAAACAAGTAAAAAAATCTTTTTCAAATAATTCTGAACGACAATCATCATTAAAACGTTCAATCTCAGATATAATTGATGATATGCCAAAATTTTTATCATCTTATCCTGATCCAATTAATTATTTTTTTGATACAAAACGTAAACAATCTGAATCCTATATTAATCATGCAAAAGCATTTCTTCTACGTGCATTTCCAACAATAGATAAAACGATTTTAGAACAAGCTTTAGAAGAAGAAAATTGGCATTTTTTACCGACTGTAAGAAAATTAGAAACACGAGCTGGTATTCGTACTAATGCATTTTTACAAAGAATGACAATTAAACGATCATTAGATATGATTGGTAGGATCATGTTTAAACATAATATTATATGAATCTATTTGATTAGATTTGTCTATTGATGGTGTTGGTCGAAAACCATCTATAGCATGGATAATTAAAAATAATAAATTTGCTTATTCAATTCCACATACGCCTTGTGAAGAATTTTACGATGAACTTCGGTTTGCTAAAAATGAAGTTAAAATTCGACGTAAGATAATTTTTGTGTACTTTTTGAAAATTTCTAATAAAAAATAAAATAAATTTTTTTTTTTTTTCAAGGATATCTTGGAAAAGTTTCAAAAGAACATGAAAAACGTGTAAAAAAAGCTAAAAAAGGAAATGAAACACTTGAATGTGAAATATGTTGTCAAGAAGATTTATTAATTGATGATATGGTTGAATGTACTGTTGGACATCTTTATTGTCGGTTAGTTTCAAAGAGATTTATTTTTATTTTTCAAATTTTATTATTATTTTTTTATTTAGAAATTGCGTTCGAACACATATTGATATTTGTTTTAAAGAAGGAAAATGTCGTTTTGGTTGTGTAGAAAATTCATGTCCTGGTGAATATACGACAAGACTTGTTAATGAACTTTTACCACCAAAAGATTTAAAGAGATTAAATAGAAGAATACAAGAAGAAAATATTAGACAAGGTAAATAATAATTGAAAAGAATCATAAGGTGGTTGTTTTTCTCTTTCATTGAATATACGCATTTTGTATTGAATTATGTAACTTGAGACTTGAAAAAAATAATAATAATAAATAGGAAAACTCAACTTTTGATAGATATTAGATTTATAGTAGCAAAAGTAAATTTTACTAACGTATAGTAAATAGTTTCATGATTACTCATAATTTATTTATCTTTTATTAATAAAGTGAATTAGAAGGAGGAAACCTATGAAAGATAGGTCTGTTTATTACCGGCATTCGATTTGAAACAATGAAAATGAACTAGAAACTTCCGAGATAGACATCAGTTACTCGTATAAATAGAAAACTGTTAGTGTAATCCCTGCTGGATTAAAATATGATATACAATGGTGCTACTGACATTGTGAAGAAAAAGAATTCACCAATATAGATCTCCGTTTGTGAATTCGTATCTAAGGTGGTGGAAAAAAGTTTAACAACAATGAATTTTTAATTTTTTTCTATTAAAGATTTCATAGATGAACTATGATGATAAAGTTTCTAAAATACCGGGACACGATAATTTTCAAGTTCCAGAAGCTATTTTTAAACAATACCATTTTAAAGAGTACAAAATAAAGGGTCGCCACATTTTCTAAGACCTTCTCTTAAAAAGTTAAATGTATCATAAAAACCAAAACAAAAGCGTTTTCTAACGTTTTTTTTTTTTTGATAAATTTCGTTTTTTGTGATACTTTTAACTTGTTAACAGAAGATCTTAGAAAATGCGACATTCCTTCATTTTACACTCTTTAAAATAGCATTGTTAAAAAATAGCTGCTGGAATCTGAAAATTCCTGTGTCCGATTTTTTTAAAACTTTATCATCATAATTCATCTTTGGAATCTTGGTATAGGATGCATTAGATAGAAAATTCTATCGACTGTTAAACTCAGTTTCTAGATTTGAGCTAATTGCTGAACATTCTAAAAAAAATGTCGTTTGTTAAACTTTTTTCCATCGCCTCACTGCTAATGCACGTCGATAATGAAAGAAGGGCAAAGAGCAGCTTTATCCTGCGTAGACTTCGATCTCGCGATTATGTTTGTCAGAATCGATAAGAAACAAGCAGAAATACTAAAGTGACAGAAGAAATTCGTTGCCATAAGGCATCTGTGGAGAAGGAAAGAGTCCAAACTTCAACATTGTTTTGAAATCATGTTTCACAAAACTAAACAATTCCTGAAATAATTTCACTTCACTATTCAATGTATATTTTTTATCAATTATATATTTAGAGAATAAACATTAATAGACTATAGAATTTCATTTATTTTTTGTTTAGCTGCAATTGATGGTCTTGAATGTTGTCCTTATTGCCCATATGCAGTTATTGTTGATAATCCAGATGATAAAATATTTCGTTGTTTAAATCCTGAATGTATGAAAGAAACATGCAGGTAAAATAAAAGTTGATTTATTTATTTATTTACCTTTGTTTTTGTTATTGATTATTTTTTATTTAGATTGTGTAAAGAACCTAATCATATTCCATTACGATGTGATGAAGTAGAAAAAGGTATAGAACTTGAAATGCGTAAATTTATTGAAGAACATGTAACAGAAGCAATGATACGTAAATGTCCTCGATGTTCACAAGTATAAATATGATCGATGATATTTTTTTTTTGCATTAAAAATTTCTTTTTATTTCATTTTTAGCGTTTTTATAAAGTTGAAGGTTGTAATAAAATGACATGTTCATCATGTGGTCTGTTTATATGTTATGTTTGTCGTGAAACAATAAATGGTTATGATCATTTTACAAATAATGAAAAGTATTATTTATAAAAAAAAATATTTTCATTTTCATTATTGTTATTTTTTTTTTAAGATGTACATTATCAAATCAAAGTGAAAAAATTCATTATGAAGAAATGGTACAAGAATATACAAATGCAAAAAATGAATATCTTCGTCTTCATCCAGAAGCTCATGATATGATTCTTCGTTATGATCCAATATCACATCTAATGAAACCACCTGTTACAACAACAGGTGCTACTTAATTAATAATCAAATATCTATTTTCTTCTTCGAGTTTAAATGTCAATAGAAATCTATCGCTGTTTATACAACATTACATCGAAAGTATTCGATTGAGTTTGGTTTTTTTTTAGTCAACAACTATAGATTTTTTTCTGAATAAAAAGCGATGAGTGTAAATGCTGTGCTTTTCTTTCATTATTAGTGAAGACTATATATATAGTGTCAGAAAATCAAACATGTTCTGTTTTTTTTCTAATATTTTCTTACTTAGTGTTGTCATACATGCAAAAGAAAACAATTTACTCTTGTTTTTGCTTTCTGTACCTATTGAATACAATCATTTTCATTGAAAATAAAAATTTATAAATAAACAGACATTCAACGAATCTTAAATGGTTCTGTTACACGTAAGAAAAATTTCTTATTTGCTTTTTTTCAATGATGAAAACTTCATGTAGGATATACGATACGCAGTGATATTAATTGATAACGAATTAAGTAAGACTAAGGATGAAATTGATTAAAGATTAATTTTTTTAAAAATATATTTGATGATTGTGTAAAGTCTGAATAAATATCGAAGGTATCCAAAAAGATTAAATCAATATAAATGATTTTTGTGCTAAACTAACGAGAGAAAGTTTCCAAATGATGAACTGTTTTTAACCTGGAACTATATTCAATCAATAGGGTCTAGTGAATAAGTAAATACTGTAGAGTGATTCGAGTTGTTGGATCTTTGTTGCTGAGATATTGATATTTTTAATGGATTTTTCTTCAAGGGTCCTACTTTTTAAGTAAAATTCTGTCTTTGCATTTTCATCTGTAACTTTGCCTATATAAACGCATCAACTAGACTAGCTTGTAGAAAAGAAATTCAGAATTTTTTCCACTAAGCCTCTCCAATATATAAATCTTTTAAAATGTCCCTGTTCATGACAAAACGCCTATATTTTAAAAAATTTATGTTGAAAAGTAGCTTGGTAAAGAATTCTAATTTTTTTTCTACGAACTAGTTTTATCTATGCCTTTATATGGGCAAAGTTTCAAAGCAAAATTTGAAAGTATAATTTCGCTTGAAAGCTGGAGTCCTTCAGGGAAAATCCGCTAAAAATTTGATATCTCAGTAACAAAGGCCTAGCAGTTCGAATCACTCTAGAGTATTTACTTACTCATTAGGCTCTATCAATTGCATATAGTTCTAGCATGAAGGTAATTTATCACTAGGAAATCTTTCTTCGTAAGAGGCAAAATGATAACGGATTTTTTGAAAGATTTTGTTAAATATAGAATTCATTAGTTTCTGAAACTAATTTATCATCCTCATCATTCATTAAGATAATCTTGAAATTTACTTGTTATGTCAATGATTAAATATATTTTATATAGATTTATATCGAAATAGACTAAAATAAAACTAATTAATATAGTTAAACTTATCAAATTTATGGGTATTGATAGATTATTGAATTCGATCATTCACAACATATCTTTCAATCAATTACACAATCATAAATTCGAAGTTAACAGAAGACATCTGAAAATTTTTTATTTATCAGTTGTACAAAAATCGGTTGATTGCCTTTTGACTCAAACATTTCATTCTTCATTTTCATTTATTATAACCAAATCTCTCTAAGGACGTAAAATAGATAGATCTAGAATCAGTTTAACTCTTTTGACTGTTGATTTCTACGATAGTTCTTAACAGTTTCGTTCTAATCGAAGAAAAAGATATTGTCTAGATAGTTCAGTGACAACTAACGGATGTCTCAAGAGAAATTGTACTAGATCTCCGTGTATTTTTCTCTCGTTTCTTAATCATAAAAAAATTCTCTCCTATAGCTAAAGATAGAGAATTTCAAGTTGCACAAAACTATCGACTTTATTTCTCAAGCAACTTTCTTTTATTAGCGCAAAACTTAGAAGAATAATAGTTATCTAGTCGTTCAACTGCAACGGTCAAGAAAACAGAAAACTTGACTGTTTTTTTTAATAAAGATGGTCCTAGTGAATTTTCACCTATCTCATAAAATTCTCCTTAAAATTCTGCATTTCTGGATGCATGTTTCAGAATTTTAGAAGAAATCTTTGGAAATAACAAAAAAAAGAGAAGCATTATAAAAAGTTCTTTTTCTGGTAGATCTATTCCATCAATATTTTCTAATTCAAAACAATCTAAATATTTTCACGGCTCAATTTAATCTTCATAAAATTTTTGTTCAGAATTAAGTTCTAGATCCACTAGCATAATAATAAATCTTTCATAGAACAAGTCTCACTTTTGAAAATATGATTTTCCAAAGTGCACTCAAAAATATCGACAGTTGTCAGTGTCAAGTCTTTTTCTCATAAACGTCACCTTCAGAAACCTCGAAAAGGTTGTAGAGACATACAGCATAAAAGAAGTCAGCAGAGAATAAAAAATTGAAGTTGAATGGCTGAGTAGATGTGAATCTTTTAAATTTAGTATCGACAAGGTAAAACTTGTTATACTGAGGAACTAAGAAAGAAAGGCACCAAGATTTAGTGTAGGTTATTTTGACATAAGTATTTCATTTTTCAAACTCATATTTGCACCACAAAACAGTAGTGTTGATCGGGAAAAAAATTTGCATTTGCAGAAATATATGACCTTCGAAAGAAGAGTTTCTAATCTGCTCTACTAGAAATAAAGGAGCTTACTAGTGAAGTAGAAATGTTGACGAAAAAAAAAAAAATATTGCATTGTAAGTTTATTTACTATTGAAAATGTTTAATCGGTATGTAATCTTATTTGTCGAAGGTGAAGAAAACTTTTGATAGATTTTAGTTAATCTGTCTTATATTTTTCATAGAATTGAAGTTTCGAAGGTAGCAAAAAATATAACACATTTGCATAGGAATTGTAATGCGTTGCTCAAATCTATCAAAGTGATGGAGGAAGAAAAAAATATGTTTGAGCCTACGACACGTGAATCTAGACTAGGCTTTGATCTACCTAAACCTTGTAGCTTCACCGTCTATCTATACAAGTATATGGAGTTTATAATCATCGATTGAAGAGAACAGAAATAGGGTTCATTGACTATCAGTGTTTTTTCTTGTTTTTCAATATGAATAAATAAAAGTTCGATACTATTTGTCATCAATTAATAGAGATAATGTCATTATCTATGTTTTTCCTTTTGATAGACTTTTTATTTTTCTTATTTTTCATGAAAACCATTTAATTCTCTTTCCGAGCAACAGTAATGATGATTAAACATGAGCTGGAAGACTTTTTTGCGATATACAATACAATTATTTGATTCTCATTACGCGTCAAAAATTATCAAGATATATTAATTCAATTTGTTCATTAACAAAATTTCATATTCTCTTGTACTAGCTACAATTTCATATATTTGACAAATTTTGATCTCAATTACCACTTTTATTTAAAACAAAAAAAAAATTAATTTATTAGATTCTATTTGTCATATTTTTAAATAGATGTAGTAAAATATCGTATTCGTTTTTCCCTAACATTAAAAGTAACGTAAGTAGGTCGTGTAATTACATTCAATGGTAATGAATTATTTGTTCCTTGTTCTATTGTTAATCGTCTGCTACCAGTTGGCCTACTATTTGATGATGTTGTTTGTCCAGTGCTTGATGAATATCTTCGATCGATACAACATGAAATCAACGGTTTTTGTGAACATGCATCAGGAATACCAAAATCAATTGCTTTACAATATATTGTTCGACATATAGATTTAGCTGAATTGCGAAATTTGTTTCCAATAAAACAATAAAATATAAATGATAATGCATGATAAGAATTTTGTAATAAACGTAAATATTCATTTAAAATAAGAGAAATTTTTATTAATGATGATGAATTCGTCGAAGTACATTTATATATTGATTGAATTATAAGACAAATATTTGATGGTCCAGTCATGATTAAAAATAAAATATTTATTGTTATTAATATAACTGATAAATGATCTGGCCATGAATTAGAACCTTTTTGTATATGATGTATTCCACCAAAGCTTCGTGTTGAACGACGTCTTTGAAATACTTTAATTATAATAAGAAGACTACATACGAGTGTCATTATAAATGGTAGAATTGCATAGAGAAATGTATCTACGATATTCCAAAGAGTACAAATATTTTTCTTGTCAACTTGTATAGGTCGAGTTTGAATCCAAGATGTATGATATTTTAGAGAAATATTATTTGAAAGTTTAGTAATATTAATTGGATATTTTAATGCATGTTGAAATTGTTTTGTATTATTATTTAATATTTGATTACAAATATGAGTTTTTTCAAACAGACCATAATTAAAAAGAATTTGAGCATCGAAAATGAATAGAGGTATTACAATACATATTAAAAAAATACTCCAAGTTTGTATCTATATTTAGAAAAAAATCAAAGTTCATAAATAACATAGGATTATGTAAATATTGTATTTTAAAACGGTAACTATGATAGGATCTGCTTCTATTAAGGTCATATAAGAGAAAGGAAGTGAAACTAAATTGAAGCCAATCTTTATCACATACGATGACTCTATTAAAAGAATTTTACTATATTAAAAATATTTCATGCAGCTAGAGTACGAGGGCCAAGGATTTATCCTGTGTTCTGATATTTTCCCTGAAAATGTTCTTTGATGAATAGTTGGTAATGTTTTTATTGTTTGGCGGATCAAATGAATTATATGAAAGAGAAAGTGTTCTCTGGATTGCTAGAAAGAATTAACTATTTTCTTTGATACAAAACAATTTCTCTCAATATTACAAAGAGAATATGTTCTCGTCTTATCAAAAGACACGATCTACTTCATAGCCCAGAGAGAATAAGTCGAATTCAAAGAGCATCAAAAATTCCTACGGAAAAAATGTTTTACTGGAAGAAACAAATGATGCAAAAGATCGTTACTCTATGATTTATTGAAGGTTTTCTTTTTTTAACTCTTTCATTCGCTAAATAGAACCAAACGACAGTTACGTTTATAAAGATTATTTTAATGAAAAATGAGAAGCTAAACTTTTTTTACTTGACACTTCAATAATCTCTGTTGAACTTACCCATGATGTTGTTGGATGTGTTTTTAAACTAAGTAATGCATGAACACGTTGAATACTTGTTGAAACAAGTTGCCATGAACAAAGATGACCAATAAAAGTTACAGTAAATCTATGTAAACGACATAATTCTGTTGAAGTATCTCTTAAATCTTGTTGATAAATATTTATATGACGAATTAATATTGATATTAAATATAATATATTTAAAAAACAAAAAATAGTTAAATTTTTATAAACATTGAAACGGTTAAGTTTGGAACAAAGTAAAATAATTATTGATATTCCATTACCAATAAAACCAATAATACAAAGTAATAATGTCATATAAATATAAAAATTTGAAACAGGAGAATTCGGAAATACATAAGATGAATTAAAACATTCAATGGCTTTTCGAATTGTATGATAAACACAAAAATATGATGAATTAGAAAATGATGTAGCATGACGTAATAGATAAGAACATTTTACTAATTCAGATGAATTAACATGACACCAACATGTTTCAAAATAATTAGCTCGACATAATGTTAAATTATTTTGTGACATAATAACTTTCTAAAGAAAATGAATTTGTATATTCAAAATTTAGATTACTTATAAACCTACGAAAAATTGAGAACTTTTTATTTGACAGTGTATCTGAATACTCAAGATTTCTCGAGAGATTACAACACGATATTTGTCAAAACTATAAGTAATGTTGCATGTCTGATATCCATCATTACTAATAAACAAAATATGTGTGATTAAAAAATTCTTTGTTCCTGATCAAAGCATATATTAATCGAAATGTCTATATATATATATATATCGAATTGACCTAATAAATTAATCTTTGCTCCGACATATTGAATTATAAAATAATCTATATCAATGTTTAAGTGAAATATATAGTTATCTATTGGAAGGGTATGCTAATAGAAATGTAAATATATTTGTCACGTTAATTATTGCGTACATCATTTTACTATTATGACTCATTGATTAGAAAAATATAAAATTGAATGAATCTAATTAAAAGTATTAAGTTATCTATCATATTTATTATGTTTTCGACACTTCGGTTTTATTTAAAAATTGAATTTGATTAATATTCTCTACTTCATCGCCATCCTGTGCGTCATTACAATTATCATAGTCATTATGATTAGAAGTATCATGTATAACAACGTATCATGTATAATAAAGTATCATGTAACAACATATCATGTATAATAACGTATCATGTATAATAAAATCAATAGAATTACTTTGACTTTTACATCAAAATACCCAATTTCTTTCATGTGTACTGATTCTTAAGTAAAAAAATCCCTTAATAATTTTGTAATCTGTATTAGATATATCGAAAAACAAAATTACGTGAAAATTTTTCTTTTCAATTTACATTCGAAGGACATGACACACTCAAAAAAATTTAGTTTTATAGTCACTTACTTCGTTAATAATATTAGAATTAAATCTTGTTGTCATAGATACTATTAATATTAAATAATGATCAAATGAAAGTTTAGTCTGAACTTATATATAAACCGTTACTTTCTTTTCTTTTTTCTCTTTTTTTCTTTCCGGTTCTTCTCGACATCATGATTAATAGAAGACTCTCTCCGGAAAATGTCTGTTGAGAATCTAAAAAAAAAGAAACATCAATAGTAAAGAACTAATAAGAACTTTGGGTATGAAACACATTCACATTTTTTGTTTATCTCTCTATTCAAACAAAAATATGTCGAAGACTATTTCAATTGTTTAATTATACGCATCTATAAAACCAACGTTAGTTAGATTCGATCGTTGAGTTATGTACAAAAAAGAAAACATTTCAGTTATTATTTCACTAATTCTAGAAACTTTCGATATAAATATATTCCTCATGCCATCATTCCAATAAATCTTTTCCATAGTGATATCGATTAAGTAAATGTTCATGTGCTTGAACTCAAACTTCATTGTATTCTGTATGTAAATATAAATCCATTTGAAGACATACTGCTTTTAATTGATTAAAGCACCATGTATAATGATAACATGTTGACGGTATAGGTCGAAAATGAAGTCTTTGATTACGTAAAATATTACCTGAAAGATTTTTTTCGATTGATTAAAATCAATTAAAATTCCAATAGATCCATAAAATTTGTGAGTTATACTACGAAATTTATATGAACAATAAGAATAAAACTCATAATCGAGTACGAAAGGAAGGAATCGATCATGCAATAGACAATTGAAAAGAACATTCATAATACGAGATTTTGAAATTTAATCAGCATCTCATGTGAGAAGAAGATATTTATTACACGAAAAAAAAAAAACTTCAGTAAAATCAATTATCAACATTAAAAAAAACTATGAATATTTACCCTGTTATATTAGATAAGGCTAGTCGAAGACCTTCATTTCTCTTTTGACGTTCATTAAACCATACATGTGTTATATTCCGAACAAGTTCAACTCCTACTCGTCATATTTTAGTACGATGACAAATGCTGCAACAGTTCTTCATTAATTTTCTTTTCAGTATAGTGTAACAACAAATCGTCATGAAGACTTGATAATTTTCTTGTTAGAAAGATTAAAGTTTCTACTAGACAGCTGTGTAAAAATATTTGATTCAGAAAACTTATTGAGGACCGAAAAGTTTTCTGTATGCTTCTGAGATTTATGAGAAACCTTCTATTCAGTAAGAAAGTTAGTCTTATTTTCCGTCTTTTATCAGATTTGGTAAAAATTAGCGCAACAATAGACCATTGTGAAACATGTAAAAATAAAATTTTTAAAGTTATCAGTTAAATTTAAAATCGACATTTTTCTAATAGCGATTGCAAGCGAAAAGTATTCACAACTGTTAAATGATTTCGAAAAATAAGATTTTTTCCAGCAATCGAAATTAGTCAAACCCCATATTTTATGTCCAATCACAGTTAAGTGAGCCCTTTAAAAGCACATTATATAAAACAGAATATAAGATATTATGAGAAAAAATTCATTGAGTGTTGTAGAGGAAAAATGAAACTTTTAAATATAACTGTTTCCTATCAAACCTATAGTTTTGTAATTCTAATATTTTGGTACCACTAGAAAGTACGTGTCGCGTTGGTCAAATTCATACGTAACATTCCTAAAAATTTTGAAAGCCTAGTGCAAAACATATCCATCAAATGCACTTCTCATCACTGATCTTGTGTGAAGTTAAAAAGCATTTTTTCAGTCAAATATATTCTGCAAACTTTTCACCCTTCGGTAAGTATTTTGAATCAAATATTTTTACACAACATTGTAGTAGAGACTTTATTCTTTCTAACAAGCAAACTATCAAGTCTCTATGACGAGTTATTATCCCGCTATACTGAAAAGACAATTCATGCAGAACTTTTGCACCATCCGTTATTTCTCAAATTTTGATCCATTTTCTTGAAGATAAAGGGATGTCCCAGAAATTCTGAAATGACTCTAAAATTCCTCGTTCTTGTATTCAATAGAAGCATATTCTTGGAAACCTTGGTTAATTATTGTATCTACTAAGTAGTAAATACCCACAAAGTTTGAAGTCTATGGCTTTTACTATGGATGAGAATCGTTCAACAACCTATGAAAATGATTGAATGTGGCTTTATCGCATTGGTATATATACATCGAATAACTGCAGAAATACGAGAGGTTTGCAAAACTTAATAAAAATACTTAAAGATATAGATCGAAAAAACTTTGTCTACATGTCACAATATACAATAGAGACTTAAAGTTCAGTTGTCTTTTATGCTATATATTCAGGATATGACATCAACTGCGCAAAATGACTTCCATAAAATACAATGTAGAATCAGTTTACAGTAATTTTGATAACACATAAGAAAAGAATTGAATTAATACATAATATATTTACTTTTACTTTAATTTTGAACGTTGACGCACATTATAATCTCGCGTGACTCATTAAAACAATTTTATTTCTTTTTCTCATGAATCAAACGTATTCTAACGCAAATATTTTCCATGGTGATTAATTACAAGGAATTAATGAAATGATTAAGGTTTCATCTCGAACTGCAGTGTGCTCTAAGAGAGTTATAGGTTAAGAAAAATAAAAAATCTCGTGTGATATTCTGTGTATCAAACAAATTTCCAGGTTTTACGGCATAGTTTCGATAAATAGGACATTTTTTTTTCTTTTGTAAAGGGTTCATTTCCTATTCACTGATTTTCATTCTACATTACACCGATTGTTTTTAGATGAATTGCTTAATCTTAGATTTATTTTTTATCTCGCATGACAGAAAATCAAACAGGAACTGTGCATCTGAGACTCAGAAAAAAAAATCATGGTAAAAACGCCATGCATTTTGTAACAACAGTGACGATGCTTCATAAACAGTCTTTGCCAAGATGAAGAATGTTTAAATTGAGTCCATTCGATAGAAAATTAAATTCTAAACGTAACAAAACAATTAGGAGAATCAATAGAAACCAACAGATCAATTCTATTGAGGCTTACTGTCAGAACAGGATTCAACACTCAGTATTTCGAGTAAAAATTTTATTTTTTGCTCGATAATCCCTTTTGAAATTCGTATCATTGGATAGAGAATAAAATTCTGCACCTAACATAACCAATTAGAGATCTAAAACAAGTCAGAAAATAAATTCTGACAAGAAATGGTCTAATGTGGTGCTAATTTTATTTACGTTAGTTTTTCTCGGATCCTAGTCCACAATAATGTAAACGTGAAGCTCCCAATTCTCAATAATATTAATAAAGAAAAATCTTATGATATCTAAATTCTTTTTATATACTTGTATATGAAAAAGACTTTATTTAATGATATAGAGAAAATAATGAATGAGAATATGTCATAGTTATCATTTGAGCCAAAATGTACGTGTCTGTAAAAATGAGATTTAGCTCTAAATAATCTAACTCACATAATGTTTGTCTTTTATTATCTTGTAAATCATTAATCAAATATTAAAAAAAAATCAAAAGAAAAACAAATCACAAATAGAACCGTTTTACTTTTAATGTTCAAATTCTTTCTTATGATATTTAAAGTGATCTTCTAAAAATGTCATTATAAAATAATAACTATGATCATAACCAGCTTGTTCACGCAATTCGATTGGAAATGAAGCTGTTTTACAAGCATCAATAAATCTTTCCGGAAATAATTGTTTATCTTTAAAATTATCATCAGAACCTTGATCAATTAAAACAGGTGCATGTGGCTTTGGACCATGATATGAAGCGACAAGTTCAGTTGCATCATATTGTTTCCAAAGATTTTTATCTTGACCAAAAAATTTCGTATATGCATTAATACCCCAGTCACTTTTTGATGCATTACAAATTGGTGCAAAAGCTGAAACAGATTTATATTGACCAGGACGTTTAAAAAAACTAATTAAAGCACCATGACCACCCATACTATGTCTAAACAAAAATGATCTCTCTCTCTGCAATTATCTTGTTCAATATTAATCTCTTTGTGTTTTACCCGAAAATTCCAATTTGATTTGGATTAACATTAAAATTTTTAACAATTAATTCATAAAATTCTTCATTAATATAAGAAAACATTTGATAATTCTTTGACCATTTACTTTCAGTTGCATCAATATAATATCCAGCACCTTCACCAAAATCCCATTTATCACTATCACCTTCAATTTTACAACCACCTATATTTTCAAATATAAACATATAATAAAAATATACATAAAAAAAACTTTTTTTTTCATACGAGGACTAGTATCTGGATTTGCTACAATAAAACCATATTCTGAAGCTAAACGTTGAACACCAGATTTTGTAATAAAATTCTGTTCCGTACAAGTTAAACCTATTCAATAAAAGAAAAACTTTATTTTTTTTTAATTTATGAAAATTCCAACAAACCAGAAAGAAAAATTAATAAAGGTACTCGTTCTTTCTCAGCTTTTGCTGGAACATAAACACCAAATTTCATTTTACAACCAACAGTTGAACTAAAACCAAAAGCCAAATTTTAATTAAATATTTAAACGAAAACGTTTCTCTTCATATACCTTTCATGGTTATAAACATATTGATGACCATCAAAAGCTTTTGAACTTTGTTCACGAGTCAATGCTGATGATGACATTCTCAAAAAAAAAAGGATAAAGGTATTTTTGACCGAGTGTAAATGTGAATTATTTTTTTTATTTTTCATTAACATGCAAAATACAATCATAAATTTTTAAAAAAAAGAAACAGGAAAGGAACATAAATACTCTTTCACCTTATAGAGATGTTAGCAGGGGTTTAAGACAAAAAAAATGAATTTATGTTCGCAAAATTATGATTCAGTGATCTCAAACAACAAGTGTGTAGATTAGAATAATAGATAATTCGAAAAGACAAACAAACAAAAAAAAAAAAAAGGAAACATACAATAACAACAACAGTAAATTATATTATGACTAGAGACAAGAGAAAACGAATTAAATATATATATATTTATTTATTTAAAGTTCCAATGATGAAAATAATCGACGACACATAACAGCAGCTAACGATGGGCATTTATCAAAGTCACAGATGAGTTGACGTTGTTTGTCATTTAATTTTTGAAATACATTATTATATTCACGATCGAATGCGTCTAGTTAAGAAAAAAATAATAACAGTAAAATTTTATAATCATATTATAGAAAATTCAATAGAACATATCTATACTTGTAATATATCATAGATTTTTAGTTATTAGAAAAACAATGAAATATCCCAACAAGAAAAAAGGATAAAATCATAGTCCAAAGAAAAAATTCACCTGGGATAGTACCCAACTGTCGAATATCGACCGAACTTGTGGTGTGTTCATATGTAGTACCCGGTGAGACTAGTAGAAACCAAAAAAGGATCCGTGTCCATGTCTTTGTTCTCTTAGAGTTACGATCATTTTACTGAATTTTTGACTTCGCACAAACCAACTGATTAAATATCGCAAGACATCGATTTGACGTGAAATTTTGTCCGTAAGTAGGTCACACATTTATTATTAGATTGCTCTGAAAGTTTCTCTTGAAAACCATGATTCCTTCTCGAGATATGCAACAATCAAACAAGTTAATATTCTAATCTTTGTCTATGAGACATTACAGTTAGTTGATCATTGAATATCTCCCGAAGAATAAGGAAGAGTGGCAAACCTTAAATTGGTAATAATTTTGAAACCTACGTGTCAAATTTATTATGAATTCCAGTTTTTCAAAATTTCTACAAATTAAAAAATCCTAAGAATTGAAACTAATATAAATGTAATTACCTATTATTTCGAATCCTATCATTCAAAAAATAGCTAATCAATCAGAAATGAGGAATTTTACTCTCTTGAGGATCAGGGTAAGATTAGAAGTGAGAGTGGTGGTAAGAATAAGGGTGATTAATTATGCATACAAATCAATCACTGATTTCCACTTTTCTGTTATTGGTCATAAGTTATTTTTGTCAAAAATCAGAAACCAGCAATCAGAGATTTAGTAAAAGTTAGTAACAATTTGATATTTGCTACGGCTTCCGATGTTTTAGTGTATGATTCCTATGTCTTTAGAGGATCTTTTAAGATTTCTACACTAATACTCGATATAAATTTGACATAATTATTTGCGAATTTAATAATAGAATTTTTTACTATAAACTTACCGTAAGAAAGTTTTTCACGTCCAAGTGCAACAATAGCTAAAAATAGAATTTCTCTGTACATTGAACGTCGACGAATACGTCGACGAATTGATTTAGATGATTCTTTTATAAATAATCGAATTGGATTGTCTAGATCATTTTGTTCAATACAAGCAACAATTGATCGTATTACTCTATGATTAAATAAAAAGAAAAACAGACAAATCAATATTTTATTTTATTTTTCTCTATTAATAAAATTAGTGAATAAATCAATTTTTAATATCTACGATATGTGAAAAGAATCATTTACCGATTTATATTATTATCAAATAAATCGCTAATATATGAAGAAAATAACAAGAACAAAAAAAAAACATTCTTCTATTAATCTTACTTTCCAGTAACGGTACTATGTTCGTCCGTAATTAGTGCATTGGCAACTGGTGTATGGCATCCATCTATATTGAAGACAAAAAAAAACATAGATACATTCTAGTAGTAGAGCCAGAACACTAGCGTTCCCTTTTATTTTCGATAGGCAGATGACACCCTCGCTGCATGCGTTGGGCCTACGAAAGATGCGCACAAACTAAAAAATTCATATATATACTTTGAAACAGAACAAAGGTATAGAGGTAGCCGAAACAACAATATTTTTATTTTATTGACAAAATCATAAATATAACAATTAGGTATGTAAACAAAGTACGAAAAAAAATTTTTGATTGTAAAGAATTATTTTTATTTATATGACACTTTTTGTTCTTAGAACGACATCCTTAAGTAGAGTAAAGCATCAAAACAGAATATATCTAATAGTTATAGTTTATGATTTAACAAATAATATAATTACTTGTGTGTGTATATCTTAATCCTTTACGGCTTGCTGTTCTTCTCAGAAAAAATTAAAATAGTTGATATAAAGATTATGACAAAATCTTACATTCAAAAATCAAATAGTTCTCCGAATTAGCACAGTCTGATAGATATAATTTGCCTGAAAATCTATGTAGCGAAGGCTCCATCTACTACTGCCAATCTGTAACAAGAGGGGCACTAGTGTTCTAGCTCCGTCGTTGATACATTTTAAAATAAAAGAAATTCGTTTTTCTTACCATAACCATCATGTTCCCATGTTTTATACATTGGTTCAGCGATATCACTATGACTTATTGCACTATCCCACATACAACGTATACGTATTGAATTTTTTTCATCAATAAATTCTTGTCCCAAAATACATTTATTCTTTTTAATATCTCGTTTAGTTTCATTTTCTGATGAATATAATAATGAACGTAAAAGCATTTGAAATAAATAACTTGATACATGTATACGTCGAAAAAACCATATCTAAATAAATAATTATTATAATAAAATAAGCAAACAAACAAATTTTAATATATGTTACCAAATTCCAAAATAAAATTGGATGTTTTTCTTTAAAATCAATTTTATATAAATCATTACTATTTTGATCAGATGTTTCAATTATATTTTCAAGTTCTTTACGAAGAACAAGTGGACTTAAATAGTGTACTGTTATAGTTGATGACGATGATTGAAGACGGCTAGAAAAACAAAATAATAATAATAATTAAGCTGAAACAAATATTTAAGATCCATTCCAACATAAAGTGCTGAATACTAATGTCCGTTTCAAAATATAGTGCGTCCCACTGTTTTTTGAATAATTCAAGAACGCAATGAGCTAGAGATCTGCGGTTTTCACCAATCGATAGAGGAGAAGTTGATGCATCTTTTTACTTGATAATGTATAAGACGAAATCCTTTTAAAACTGACCATCTTCGAAAAATATGCAAAAGAACGTATGAAAATGACCTCGCATCTAGATGAAATTTCGATTTTGACATATGATTTATATAGAGGAACATCGGATGTACAATTCAAGATACAATGTAAATGACTCTCTTATTATATTCTGACGGTAAGTAAAAAGAATCATGTATTTGCATGCGCAAATAATAGGAAATTTTGCTGATTTTTTACTAGGTTTTCGCACTTTTTATCATAGTAGCTCAGCATTTCGATGAAAATGTCATGAAAAGTAAAAAAGCATATTGTATCTTGAATTGTACATCCGATGTTCCTCTATATAAATCATAGGTCAAAATCAAAACTTCATTTAGATGCGAGATCATTTTCATGCGTTTTTTGCATATTTTTCGAAGATGGTCAGTTTTAAAAGGATTTCATCTTACATATTATCAAGGAAAAAGATGCATCAACTTCTCGTCTATCGATTGGTGAAAATCGCAGATCTCTAGCTCATTGCGTTCTTGAATTATTCAAAAAACAGTGGGGTGCACTATATTTTGAAACGGATATTAGTTAAGCAACTTCGATGATTGAGTAACTTAAAAGAATTTACATGTCTGTGATCTCTTCTTTACATACGATTCCATTATGAAATGAGAATTTTTTTGTTGTGTTTGTTTGTTTTTCGTTTCTCATCAGTCTGATGATTACACGAACTCTAACAAGGAAACCTCTTCAGATAAATAAAAACCTGTAATTATTCATATCCTTTTTAATTTCTTCATGAATAATGACAATTTTACTGAACTTTTGGACTAGTGCATGATATATTAACAAAAATCTCAAATCGCTATTTCGATCTAAAAGTTTGGCTATAAAGAGGTCTGATAATCTCTATTATATGTCGAAAGTTTCATCTAGAATGAGTATTTTCTTCTTACGATATCAGATCTTCAACTTAAGTATATATTTAAAAAAAAAAAGATTCAGAAAAACTTAGCTGTCTTGTAAAGCTGTTATCACAAGAAGAAAACATTCGTTTGAGATGAAACTTTTGGTGTAGCATAAGACGTCTTTATAGATAAAATATCAGGTCGAAATAGTGACCTAAGATTTTCGATGATATACAGTGTGCTAGATCAGATACTCAGTAAAATTCTCATAACTCGAGAAGAAAACAATAAGGAAATGAACCATTACATACTTTTGTTTATTTTCAATGGACTCTATCTTATGACAAAAGTTTAGTCGCAAACGCTTTTTTTTTTATTTCGAGAGGTTCCTTTGCAAGTAGAAAACTTGTGAGTACAATTCCTGTAAGATTAAAATGTGAAAAACCATGTAACTGTTTTTAGTAATCGCAGGAAGATTGCTTTATTCTATATATTTTCAAACACATTTCTTCATCATTCTTTTATTTAATCCTCCAGAAATGTAATAACGAAGTACTTCATGTATTAGAACGAGATGTTATTGATATACGGTCTTTGCTCGTATACCAACAACATCTGTATATTCTATCTAAACACAATACAAATGCTTTTGATATATATTCCTGAAAACAAATGTTTAGTCAATAGATTTGAAAATCTATAAAAACAAAATTTCTATTGATTCATATAATAATTATTTTTAAAAGTTTAGCCCCTGAATCTTGGAAAACAAAATGTGTTAAATAAAAAGATTGTTTTATAAAT